TGAAGCCTCCCCCAAAGGAAAACAGAGCATTTCTTGTCTCTTACTTTCAAACCCATACAGGGAGAACAGTTCAGGTGTCAAGGTTTTGACCAGCTTCCTCTGACCGTTATGAGCATGATTAATACATCAACTGTGACTCCAGATTAGAGGATTTTCTTCATATAAAAATTTAAAGACATCTGGAAATTGAATGTTCAAAGAAAATCCTTTGAAAGTGTAGTATATTGTGGAGTTAGCAGATTGGAATGATTTTAAAAAGTGAAAATGCTAAAAGAAAGTTAGAAAAGGTTCCTTACCTGTTCTACCAGCAACCCCTATTAAAACAAAGAATTTTAAAATCCAGTTTATACTCCAAGTTGTTTTCGATATTGTTGTTTCAGCTAGTTTGGATAGTTAAATGAGACCGATTGGTCATTACTCTAGATTTTCCTATTGTACCCATTACCTTTCATCTGATCCATAACGATAAACCATGCCTAGAATCTAAGACTGATATGGAGTAATTAGAATAATCACTTGCATAGGCTATGGGGGTGGGGGGGGAAGATGGCCACAACAATACATTCATATTTGTTCATGTACACTTCTTTTTGAAAAGGAGGAGTTATACATCAGAGCTGGGTTGGTTTTAGTGTGTGGGATTTTTTTGGGTTTTTTTGTTTTGTTTTGTTTTTTTTAAATAGCAAGCTATTACACAGTCTTCCAAAAATCAGGATGGTAAACTTGGTTTTGCTGACAGAAGAGGATAAAGAGATCCTTGGAATTTAAACATGACTAAAATTAGGCTGCAAGATCATGGTCTTTTTTCTCCAGCGTAACTTGCTGCTGTCGAATGTGAAGCATCTCTTTCCTTCCAGCCCGCTCCTCCCAGCCGAAAACAACAGTTTGTTTTCTCTCCTGTGTTGTGCTGGTGAGCACTAGCCCCTTTTTTTGGGCCAATTAATTCACTAGCCCATGAAATTGATCACTTTTGGCTGAGTTAGTTTGCTGCTGCATGTGTGGG